TGTGTGTGTGAATATTCATGTCATGGGGTTTATAGCATTTATAGGATTTTTTAAAAGAGGCCTGTAAACTTTAGAAGTTCAGAATTATTGTTTTGAAACAAGTTAGGCGAATAATAAAAGGTAAAGTTGTCAAGTATTACCTGTTAAATATTTTTCTTGAAAAATATCTACAGCTAACCAATTAGAAGGTCATCTTAAACTAAATAGAGAGCAACTATTGTGAAGAAAATTGAAAAACTAGGTGAAAATACTGCCAAAACAGTCCCTCTAGGTGTGTCATTGTCAACCAGAGAAGACATAAGACCTGTAAAGGAAATGCTTACTACACTTACTTGTTCTCCACGGAGTCCTGGGGGCCCTGGATGTCCTTTAAGGCCCTGTAGGGGAAAAAGTGAGCAGATGTTATGAAGGGTAAAGTTAAACCATAGAAGCCAAGTAAGTAAAGAAAGGTTCAACTTTTAATCATCAATAATTTAATTCTCTGGGAATTTATTTCTTATTACATTTAACCCTGAAAGACTACTTGTTGACAAATTCCTATGAGTAACTTAGTGAATTTTGAGTGTTGTTTAAGTAAGCTGTTATTACTAACTAAAATGTATATAACAGAACATAGAATAGCATGTAATAATAGAACATAGAATCTTTGACAAGGAAGATTCATAGCTAGCAATGTCTGTGTTTAGTTTGCTGAAGGCTTTGACAAGTTCAATAATGCTGAGTCATTACTCTCTGACAAAATGTGTTTGTAATTACAAGTGTTTGGAATATAAATCACTGTCCTCAGATTTCATGAGCAAGTTAATTCAAATGAAAAATGCTGCTCAGAGGTTTATAAAAAATGGCCCTAAAACACCTAGGAAATTAGCAACAAAAGTATTTTTTAAGTAATAGCAAAAATATAAAATCTTAATCTCTTATTAATACTCATAGTTATTAAAAAAGTCAATATTCTTCCTCTAGAGAGATCTTCTTTTAGGATCAAAATGGAAGAAACTACAAAGAAAAGACAGGATAAAGAAATAATGGCAGACTTGGGAGCTTTATTTGTACTGTTCTACTATTCTAATCAACAATAAGTGAACTGAGTATTTTCTAGGTTTTTGGGCATGTGAAGGAATAAAAAAAAAACATTCTTTTTCTTCAGAACCTCACAGGATTTTAAACAAAACATAAACCAAAAGCCCAAAATAAACCACTGCTAACAAATTGTAAAAGGTTCCAATAATGTATGGCAAAGACAAGGTTTTGTTTTTTAATGTATTTAGTACAGAGTCTATAGGGTCTCACTACACAAACTGGACTCATAGTGATCCTCTTGTTTTCAGTCTCCCAAGTGCTGGGATTATAGGTGGGTGCCACCACAACCAGTCTCAATTGTTGTCTCAGTGCACCCCAGGGGCAGGGCTTCCATGGCACGCCAGGGATCAAACCCTGGTCCCTGCGTCTGCCTAAGCAAGTGCTTTAATCTGCTGATCTATCTGGCCCATCCCAAAGATAAATGTCTAGGGTTGCAGAATATAACATAATGCAATAAAAGAATTATTCAGGATTAATTACTGTGGGTTTTTCAGGAGAGAAAAATTTGGGTTGATGGATTAAAGAAGAAAATGATGCTTTGGTTGGACTACTGAGAAAGGAGAAGAGAGGCCTATTTGAAATATAAAGGAGTGACTTTGGAAACTTCAACATGTTAAAACTACACTAAAATACTTAGAACAGGGGCCGGGAGATGGCTCAGTAGAATAAGCGCTTCCCTGGCAAGCGCAAGGGCCTGAGTTCAATCCCTGGCTCTGCAAACAAAACAAAAAACAAAAAAACCCAAAGAAAATTGCTATGATCATTTTGGGACTGGTGAGATGGCTCAGTGGTCTAAAGCACGTACTTAGAACAAGCTTAGCAAAGCACAGGGACCACGGTTCAATCCCCCAGCACCACATGCCAGCCAGCCCCGCCCCCTGGTGGGCTGAGCTGGCCACACACACACACACACACACACACACACAAATAAATAAAATTTTAAAAAAATACTTAAAACAGACAGACCTCTTGGGCACTGCTATGGTTCACATGTGGCTTTTGTCTGTCAAAACTCACAGGTGCTGTACCTAAGTTACATCATCCCCAGCCCTCATGCTCAAAGTTGATTGCCACAGCAGGCACAGGTGCTGTGAGGTCGTGGGGCCAGAGTTGCCACTCTCAGGTACACCCCTTTGCCCTTCTGTGTTCTACCATGAGTTGAATCAGCTTGAGGTCCTCATTAGAGGCCAACAGATGCCAGCTCCATGCTTTTAGACTTTTCAGCCTCCAAAGCCAAAATACACCTTATAGCTTTATTTTATATATTTGGTACAGCGTCTCACCATGCAGCTTGGACTTGCCTGGCAAGTGTGAGGTCCTGAGGTATCACAAGAAAAAAAAAAAAAGGGAAGGAAGAGAAACCGTAACCCTCACTGAGCTATCTACCAAGTGACAGTGCACCATTCCCAAATATCTGATTGTTACAGCGATACTAAGGCAAGTATTGTCTCAGTTTTCACAGATGGGAACACTGTGCTTTGATCCATTAAAAAGCTTAACCGAAGACTTAACAAGAATTGAGAAACCCATCTTTCTAATATCTTTATATGCCTCTAATTATCTCCTCAGACACGATTTGGCCTAATTCTCTCAGCATGTTCAATCTTACCAACAAAAAGAGTTATATTTCAAAAGTCTTAGAACTATGAAAGTGATTCGTTTCTCATGTTTCGTAGTATCTAATACAGCAAGGGGTTTTTAACTGGCTTCTGAGGTTTCACATTTTTTAGAAAGATGGCTAAAGATCAACCTAATTAAAAAAATAGGCAACACAGTGTGCCCCATTGTACAAATGTTCCACAAACTTCCACAAATAAAATTATCCACAAAGCATAGGGGTTTTCTTTTTTTCTTAGTATGAGACATAATAATAATAATAATAATGATAATAATAATAATAATATCCTCAGCACTACGACTGCAGTGCTGGCACGGTGGGGTGAGGCAGCAGTTCTAGGAGGTTGAGAGTTGAAAGCTTCCTGGAGAAGAGCCAGGAAGGTGGGGGCTGGAGAGACACCTGGATGTCTATTTCTTTTCCATGTTCTAACAATGTGTGTGTGTATTTATTTACTGTTTGTATTTCTGTGACCCCTGCAGTCTAGGAGCGTTCCTCATTTCCTTTGGACACCACCTGTTTTGCTGATGGCATTTCTCTCCTCCTTAACTAGAATGAAACAGGATGCAGCAGGGGTATAGCTGCCTCTTTCCTTTTCCTGAAGCATTGCGGAACACCGAGAGATATCTGGTAGCACCTATGATTCTTCTGCACGTATGATTCCCTCTCAGGGGATTTTTCTTCAGTCAGGATGGTGGGTAAAAGTGGCCGTACCATGTAGGCATGATCTGTTCTTCCCGAAATCTCTCCTGTCCCATCTTAGCCACAGAAGTTGGCATTTGATCTAAGAAAGGACAGTGCAAACACTGTCTAGTAGCCTATTAGGTCAGTTGGAATGAAGAACTTTGTCTATATAAAGGTAAACTAGGCCAATAAAATTCTTTTTTTTAAAATGAAGTTTAACATTGTCAAAGGAAAAGCAAAATGACATAAAAAGGCTGATGCACAGGGAGTACAGGAATACATACATCCAACATCCACACAGTGATGCTGCTAAGGTACGAGTTGCTTTGCATCAGTGCTGATTGAGGTCTATGAGGTCTACGCAGTGTAGTACCTATCTTTAGATTCCATCTGATCATTGTTTCCTTTAATGCTGTAAAGAGGACTGAAATAATCTGTTCTCTTCTTGAGATGGCCTTAATCTCCATCCTTGCAATCAAAGCGCCTAAGTAAAACAATATGTTTTCTTTTGTTTAATTTGTTTTCTTTTGGTTCACTACCAATAATGAACAGACCAAGCACATTGAGAACTAGATCTGATTTTCCACTTACTAGCCATATCATGAGTCTCAATATTTGTACAATGATGGCATTGAATTAAATTATTGCTAAATTTTCTGTTGGTTTAAATTATTGAAAGAATTTTATAATTATTAAACTTTTCAACAAAGTCTTTTTTTTAAATTTAGCATTCATTGAGTGAAAAGGACAGGCACAGAAGTCAATATGGGCATAGAGATATAGGAAGAACTCAAATACAATCAATGTGTGTAACAGAGAACACCTAGAATCAGGTTCCCATGAGCAATTGTTCATCTGGTCTAAAACAAAGATGTGGATGAGCAGAATAGAAGAGAGCAGTTGGGAAAAGGCTGCCATAAGAGAATAATACTTAAAGAAGAACTCTTCAGTGGTCTATCTTTGTCTTTGACTTTCTTCTGCATATGAATTTTGTATCCATCATTAGTTGAAGGCTCTTTTATTTTTGTTCAGTTTCTATTTTTTGTGGTCATCATTTTTCTAGATTAGAACCACAATCTAGTTCTCAAGCAAAAAAATTAAAACAGTTTTGGGCTCCACTTCAAAATCAGATTGTGGAAAACTCCCAACTCTATCTGACATCTCATATATCAAAGCAAAATTATATCATACCTTTTCACCTTGCAAACCAGGTGGTCCCACTAATCCACAAAGGCCTGGATCACCCTATAAGAAAGGTGGAGATTTAATGTCACAAAACAAAATAGAAAATGAAAGTTCCTTTAATCTTTGACATCAAGACCTTACTACATCCAGTTTTGATCTCAAAATCAGGCTGAAGTTCTTCTTTGTTTCTAGCCCTTCTCAGGCTTTTTGGAGACATCCTTACCTCTTGCAGAATTGAACACCTGGACTTCACTTTCCCATCCCACTGCCTCTCCCTTTTCTCGGATCTTTTCTCTAGCAATCCCCTTTGCTCACCAAATTCCTGTCAGTTCAAAACATCTACAAGAGTTGATTCAAAACTCTGCCAGTCTTTATGAGACAATTTCCCTTTTCAGTAAAAATCCACACCTGGTGGACCGTTAGGCAGAGCTCACAGGCTATGGAAACTATGGCTGGTTTCAGCTGAGGGACCCAGGAAGAGTTACACCTGCTTCCTCCAGAAGGCACTGATACCTTCTTTTCTGTGGTGCCAGAAGCTCAGAACATGCCACCTAGGAGTCAGTATAGTATAGCTAAAGCTTATTGGTGGGTCCTTGTGTTTCGCTCCAAGAGCCTGAACTTTATTGGGTAGGACACCTTGATGAACACCTGCTACCCTGTTTGGAGGAAGGAAGGAACATGGCTGTGGTAGGTAGATGTGCTGAGTGTGACCGAGGATGCTGTATGAACTAACAAGGAAAAAGAGACAAAGCACGGGGCAAAGCAGAGAGGGCAGCATAGATCATCCTGAATCAGTTTACTCATTTAGATATTTTTGTAATCTTTTCTCTGCTTCTTTACACTGTAACAGATTTATTTCAGATGAAAAATAATGTCTTGGGGGGCTGGTGAAATAGCTCAGGGGACTAAAGTGCCCACGTAGACAAGCTTAGGCAAGCACAAGGACCGCATACTGTGCCAGCCCCACTCCCTGGGTGTGCCGAGCTTGCCATAGAGTCGGGGTGTAGAAGCCCACGTCTGTAATCCCAGCACTAGGAAGGCTGAAAACAGGAGGACCACTATGAGTCCAAACTGCATGGTGAGACCCTGTATCAACCCAATATATTTTTAAAATGTGTTATTTTAAAGATAAAAAGAGAAGTTGGAAGTACAACGTAGGAGGCCCTGGGCTCGGATCCAGCACCAAAAATGAATAAACAAATGAACAATACTAAAGAGACTTCTTATAGCATTTTCTGGTGTTTAATTTTTAGTGTATTAATTTGTCATTGCATTAAACAACTGGAAGAGAAAGGAATGCTTCTGATCATTAATAGTGGGGTGCTTTTTTCATTTGTTCTAATATTCTTTTTTTTTGAAATGATGGTGGTGATTCCTTCTTTGTCTTATGGGAAAGGAAAATTTACACTATCTAAAAGCTATGTAAGTATACCCTTGAAGTCTCAAAAGCGCTTAAAAACCTGTGTATGGTTTATTTTATATATATATATTACTTAGTGTATGTACCATGGAGAAGTAGCCCCTGTGTTTCTTCTGCTGTTTCATTATTGATCATATTCACTGTAAAGATGACTGAATAATTAAAATACAGTTGTTTTCCAACCTCTCTCTGTTCCTTTCAATTTACTATTTATATTTTACTTGTACTCAGATTGTATTGTATGACTAATCTCTTTCCTCAGCATATTTGAACTCAAATTAAACAAATGCTATTTCTAAAAGATTGTTTTTAAAGTTAACCATTTTATTTATTTGTTTTGTTTTGAGACAGGGTCTCACTATGTAGTTGAGCCTGTCCTTGAACTCACTATGTAGCCCAAGCTGTGCCCAAAATTGTAACAATCCTCCTGCTCCTGCCTTAATTCTGGGATTACAAGCATATGCCACCATGCCTGGATTAAAGTTTACCATTTTAGAAATGCATCTGTACATGGATTTCTCTTACAACCCAATGGCGACATGCTATTAGACTCTAAATCTTGCTGTAATTCTATGGAGTTTTAACCTTGATTAGTGTATGAATAATTCAAAAAGTTAAAAAAAAATAAAAACTAACATAATATCCAAGCTTAAGTTCCCATGCTGAACCACCCTATATTTTGTACAGAGAAACCATAGGAAAAAAATAAGCCAAGCATTTGATGTAAATGTTGGTGGTTAATAGAGAGGTTTTATTTAAAGCAATTATAAAAGTAGAGTGGGAATCTAATTTCTAAGCTTTGAATAGCAAAGTAAATGCACTATAGTTAGATTTTTAATTCATGGCATTTATGCTTCTTTCTTGATTACAGTATATTTTTCCATGTAAAAACTAAGAGATCAATGAAAATACTATGTTTCTAAAAATAAACTTTCATTCCTTTTATAAGCTACTTAGATTCAATTCAGTTCTACTACAGTACTAAAATTCCTAAAAATTTTATATTAAAGGTTTCAAGGATTTACTTGGTGAGAATTTATTAGTAAAATCAATCATTATGGTCTTTTTTATGTTTATAAGGGCTTTTGTTTCCAATTAGATGATCAGATTTTCAGCCAGGAATCATCATAATTGTTTAGGGACTTTAAGTTTATGAAGATATACCACATAAACAGAAACATAACTCCATCACAGTTATCTAAATAAAGCTTCTGAAAAGTTTTCTATAAACTCTGTTTTTTTTTTTTCCTTCTGGAAAACACTGTCCTCCTGATAAAGACTTTGCTGTTATTTTTACTTTAAAACATTAGTGTTTACCTAAACATACATGCATTTATGATTCAAAGTATTCTGATAATATGAAAAGTATATTGAATTCCAAGTCAAAAAATGTGAACATTAACTTTGCCATTTAGTACCCATCTGGTTAGTCATTTAAAACATTAATTCTCCCTACTCAAAACACACAAAATATATGACATTGATGAGAACATTCACAGAGTTATTGTGGCCATAAAGCAATTAAAAGTATATGAAACTATCCTGGAAAGGTATAAACTGGCTTTAGGATGTATGTAGTATTATTTGTTTATATTAACAACAAAATCTTTGAGTTTAATACCATACCCTTCTCTAATTTTAACCACATTCATCCCTAATTGGCAGGGAGTAAAGGGCAAGCCCTAATAATTAAATTACTGATAGAATTTAAGTCACTAAACTAGTGTGTCGCCTAGGCTGACCTTGAACTCATAGCAAGCCTCCCGCCTCAGCCTCTCGAGTGGTGGGCCTGAATACAGAAAGAAGTAGGCCATCACCCAGTTAGATTTACTTAATTATTTAAATATTTCTTCCTTCATTAAAATCAACAGTTTTCTGTTCTCTGTATGATACAATGAAGTTTGCATTTTAAAAATATGAAAATGATTTTTAAGTACTCAAAGTATATAACCATGATTGTATTTCACAGCGAATAAATACCTTTTTTCCTGAAAAAGCTTGGCCTGGGGAAAATCCTGGATCGCCTTTGGGACCCTAGATAAAATAATTACAACACATCTGGTGAACCACGGGTAATATGTAGTGTATCACATACATTGTATGGTTTTAAATGAAATTATTTTCAACTAACAAGGTAGCCATAGGTTATTTACCTTTTTAATGCATTTTTTTTCTCAGCTTTACTTTTACATGCTGAGGAGATTCCTAAAAATTCCCGAGGCAAAGTTGGCTTTTTAATCTCATAAAATATGGTAAAAGTACTATGAAAAGTTTCTCTTAGAGGATCCAGAGTACAGTCAATTCTACATTTTCCATCTTTGTGACACATTGAGTTTTTATTTCTATCTGAGCATTGGAAGACTAATTAATAAAGGAAAACTGCTTTTTATAATCCATCAAATTTTATGGTCTCATTAAATATTTGAGTATTTCCTAAAATCTTCCAATGTACATGCATTCCCTTATCATAAAGAAAATAAATATCAAAGACATAATTCTAATTGTCAAAATTATTTTGGTCTGTCATAAAATACAGACACATTCTCATGTTCTGGAATCTTTATTTGTAGAGCTATTTGACATTATGTTTCACTTCAAATATTTTAAAATCCTATTTAAAAAATTTCATCATGCGTCTATGGTTTAAATATGATTTGTCCCTACTGACATTCACGTTGAATCTGAATTCCTCAATCCAGCAGTGCTTGCAGGTAAGTTTGGGGAATGGGGTGGAGTACCTTGGTACATGCTCTTAGTTGCTTCTGGGAGACAGGATGATTGCTCACAACAATGAGCACCAAACCAATCATTTGAGCTAGAAAGGGTAGCGAGTCATGAGAGGCCTCTGACAAGTTCTATAGCTTGCATGCTGGGGACCAAGGCACAAGTACCCTGGACAACATTTTAGCAACTGAATGAGTCAGGTACCAAATGTAATCCTTCTCAAAGCAGTTGAACCTCAAAGTGTATTCATGCCATCTCTCTGAGTGAATTCTCCTATGCTCAGCAGGTGTAGATGAATTATTATGAAAACAGGTTGCTAGAAGCCAGCCAGCCCCTTTGTGTCTTCATGTCTTCTTTGCCTTGCTTGCCTTTCCACCATGAAACCCTCATCAGCAATCAAGCTGAGGCCAATGCCTGACCTTGGATTTCCCAGCCTCTAGAACCATGAACCAAGACAAACCTCTTTGCTATAAAATTACTTAGGCTATGATACTTTGCTATAACAACACAAAACAGACTAAGACAGATAGGTTATAGCAAAGTATCTCTTTTTCAAACTATTTACTATGCTTCATAAGATATAGAGATCACAATGGAAATTTTTAAAGTTGAAATTACGATTTCATTACCACTTCCAACTGTCTTAGTTACTTCCTTGTGCTGGGACAAAATATTTAAGACCTACAAGTTAAAGGAGGAAAGGTTTATTTATTTTGAGTTCATAGTTTGTAGAGTTTTCAGTCCATAGTTGGCAGGCTCCAAGGCAGAGTATGCATGTAGGAGAAACAGTTCATGGCAGCAAGATAGACAAGAGCATCAAGCTGGCAAGGCAGGAGGACAGTGTACATGTCCTGACCACGCCCACAGTAACCCACCCTTTCCTGTCAGGCTCTAACACTCAACATCACACCCAGCTATAAAATCATCTGTGGACTAATCCAGTGCCACACATCCATGATTCAGTGTCCCTCACCAACAATCCAGTCACCTGCCAAAAGCCCCACCTTGCGGGTGTGAGGCTTTGGGGGTACATTTAGACATAAACCACAACATCAACTAAGACTACACAATTCTCAGTCCCTCGAAGGTTATAAATATCATTTTCATTGTATGAGAAATAAGGAAATAGTTACATCTCACCTCACATATTCAAGGCTGCTTTTAAGTGCCATTCAAGTTAACCAGTGAAAAGAGGATTAAGAGAAAGGTTCTACATGTTTTCCACTGTCATCCCATTTTACAAGTTGGAAATTTGTAAAGCAAATTGGAAATTTTGCAAAAGAATCATATCATAGGAAATAGTCAAAGAAAATTTTTGGAGAAAAGTTGTTGATTTTTTTTCTTCCCATGGCCATTAAGACTTCTTCCACTAAGACTTCCATTTTTATATCACTGATTCCAGGATTATCCACTCAAGAAATGGTATTTATTTATTTAGGAAGGGTCTCACTACATAGCTCAGACTCATAGTGATTCTCCTGTCTCAGTCTCTCCAGGGATGGGGTTATAGGCTTGGGCCACTGTGCCCAATTTTGGTGGCTGGCACAGCAGACTAGGGCTTCTGGGGTGGTGCAGCATACAGTCCTGGTGTTTGAACCTGGGTCCTTGTGCTTGCCAGGGAGGCGCTTAGACCACTGAGATATCTCCTCAGCCAAAGAAATGGTTTTGAATGCCAGGTGTAGCAGTATACACATATAATCCAAGCACCATGAGTTTGAGGCCATCTTACGTGACATAGTGAGTTCAAGACTAGCCTAAACTACACAGGTAGATCCTGTCCCACAGCACTGAGAGAGAGAGAGAGAGAGAGAGAGAGAGAGAGAGAGAGAGA